CAAGAAAAAAATTCCTCCTGAACCACATATCCTTCCATTTCTTACAGGAAATTCATCTCCATTAAAATCTTATGGGACCACCATCATATGTATATGAGGTCCATCACTCACCAAAACACCATATGTGGCACATGACTATATATTCTTCTCAAGTGGAAAAAAAAAGCATTTACCAAAACAGATGATATTCAAAGACATAAGACAAATCTCAATACATTTAAGAAGATTCAAATAATACAAAGTATGTTTTCTGGCCATAACCGATTTAAATTAAAAATAAGCAACAACAAAAAATCTCCAAGTATTTGGAGACGAAATAATATCCATGAAATAATTCAGGGTTCAAAGGGAAATTAGAAAGTATTTTTAAATAAATAAAACACTTTAAAACATCAAATTATGATATGCAGCTAAGCAGTACTTAGAGAAAATGTTATAACACTAAATACCTATAACACTAACCACTTACAAAAGAAGATAAGATAGGTCTAAAATCCATGAATTCAGCTTCCATCTTAAGAAACTAAAAACGAAAAGCAAATAAAATGCAATGTGAACAGAATAAAAGAAATAATAAAGATTAGAGAGAAAACAAATAAATTGGAAAATACAAGAATAATATAGAAAAGCTAGTTGTTTGAGAAGATCAATAAAACTGGTAAACTTCTAGCCAGACTTACCAGAAAAAGAAAGAGGGAAAATACAAAATACCAATATCGGGAATAAGAGAATGACATAAATCCAAATTGTAAAGATATTAAAAATATAATAAGGGTATATTATGAATAGCTTTATGCCAAATAATTTTCTAAGTTGGATGACATAGATTGATTGAAAGACTACAAAATTACCACAACTTGCTCAACAATAGATAACGATTCAATTTGCTAAAATTTTGTTAAGAATTTTTACATCTATGTTCATAAGGGATATCAGTCTGTCATTTTTCTTTTTAAAAAAAATAAAATTTTAATTAAAAAAAACTCTCCTACAAATAAAACACCAGGCCAAGATGTTTCAACCTATAAATTCTACCAAACATTTAAGAAATAAATGATATCAATTATCTACAAACTTGTCCATAAACTGAAGGAAATACTTACTACTCATATAAGGCCAGCATTACACTGACAGAAGAAAAAAAAAATACTATTAACTGATATTCCTAATGTATTTTTAACAAAAATTTCACACACTATACTCAACAATATGTGTGTGTGTGTGTGTGTGTGTGTGTGTGTGTGTGTATAAAATAAAACATCATGACCAAATGAGATTTATCCCAAGAAAGCAAGGTCATTTAACATTTAAAAATTAATGTATTTCACTAAATGAAGATATTTTTAAAAAATAAAATAAAATAAAACCCCATGTAAGCATCTCAATTGATGCAGGAAAAGCATTTGACAAAATTCATAATCCATTACTAATAAAAACCTTCAGCTAACTAGGAATAGAAAGGTACTCAACCTGATAAACGCTATCTACAAAAAACAAATGATAGCTAATATCATGCTTTCCTCCTAAGATCAGCAATAAGGCAAGGATGTCTATTTTCACCACTTCTATTCAGCATTGTACTAATAAAGGTTCTAGCGAGTGTAATAAGGCAAGAAAAAGAAATAGAAGAAATCAAGTAGAAAGGAAGAAGTAGAACTGTATTCACAATTTGATAGTCTATGTAGAAAATACTATGGAATCTATAACAAAGCTATTGAGGTGAGTTTAGCAAGATTATAGAATATAAAATTAATATACAAAAATCAATTATATTTCTATATATATTAAAATGAACAATTGGAGATAGTTTTTAAAAATATAATTATTATAATTTGATCAAAAATATAAAATAGATGTACTAGTACATTTAACAAAAATGTGCAAAACCTATATACTGATCATTATAAAACATTGCTGAGAGAAACTAAAGATCTAAATAAATAGAGAAATATATTATGTTCGTGTAATAAATCAGGTAATATCAGAAGAGAGGAAGGGAGAGTGGGGAATGGAAGAATAACCTAGAATTTAGTTAATGATTTATTTATATCATATAAAAATAATAACAAGAATAAAGAGTTACACAAACTATGAATTGTTACTCCACAATCTCTCAAAAGTGAAAGAGAATTGTCTACAGGAAATACTCTGAACTAAAAGACAACACAGAAGAAGGCATTGAGAAGAAAGTGGGAGGATAAAGTAAGATGTGATGTTTGCCTTTGTAAAACAAGGCAGGATGAACATAAGAGTAATATGAGCAGCAATGGAGATTTACAGGGAGACCCCATAGAAGCCTTTGAAACAAAATGAGGCCTTCTTGGAACAAGCCTTGCCATACAAGGATACAAGGCTTACAAATTGTCTATGACAAAAACTTTAAAGCAGTTAAGATAGGCCTAAGGTAGGAATATTATATTAATACTTTAAAGAATAAGAGATTTGCTTTGTAAATAATCACAAACCTAAAAACTATTACCAACTTAAAAATAAGCAAAAGATACCAAAATTATAGCTATTAGTAAATAAAATTTAGGTTCTAGAAAAAGTAATTAGTATTACAAATCAAGTACATTTTTCTGGTTTTATCAGGTAAGTTATCTGTTTACTTGTACTAACAACATTCAATCATTATCATAACAAAATAAACATTAATGCAGACAATAAGTGTTAACTCATAAAAAATGTTCAACTTGAATAAGCATGCCAAATGAGATTCAGAAAGCATTTAAGCCAACTTAACTTTTGCTGGAATATTTTACTTCTACATGTTTAAAATGAAAATGTCCATAATGGAATCTGAATACATAAAATAACAGATTTCATAAAAATATCTTAAAATCCTTACATACTTAGTAACTTTTAAAATAATGCATATTCATCTTCATACTGTTAAGGATTTACAGTAATTAATACAAACATCAAGTGCAATCATTGTAGGAATACTGGTCATTTTTTTATAGCTTGGCAAATTATCAAGTACCTGCTGCTTATTAATTTTCAAACATATGGGTGCCCTGTGGTAATACACATTAAATTGATTCTCTTCCACAAATATGGCATAATGAAAAAATGAATTATTAATCTTCTCTATAAGAAATCACTTAACTCATTCATATTTTTGGCAATGTACAACTTAAATACAGTCTTTTACACAGAAACTAATTTAAAACTTTGGTAAAATGTTATATGATCATGAAATTTAGGCCATTATTCCTTCTAACCCTATTCTGAAATGTGCAATACAGTTTTTACTTTATGTAAGTTACTAAACTTGTATTTCTTTAAAACTAATTAGATACACAACTGTATATAATACATGCATTCTCACCAAAACAGTATTTCATTAAACAACTAAGAACTTTAAACATCATGGGTATCTCAAATCAGTCAGATAACAATTGAAAGATAAATAATTTTCAATCAATTTCATTTTTCTCAATTTCACAAAATATATGGCTACCTTAAGGAACATCATTGTATGTCAAGTTTAAAAGTATTTTTTCAATAACTGTTTTTGAAAAATATGATTTGTATATATTTCATTTACAGCCAGATTTCTTAATGTTTATAAATTAACAGTTTTCTAGTTTTCTAAAATGTAATGCTGCTTTTTTTTGAAGGAAAAGCAGGAAAAACAATCTACTGTAATATTAACATTTAGATTGGTTATTGATTTTATTACATAAGTGTCTTGAATATCTGATATCAACTACTGACTAGCCTCAAAATCATTATAATTATATTAGTAATTAGTCATAAAAATACCAACACAATCTAAATTAGAATTAAATATCCTAAAATAGTATAATTTACAATCAGAGTCAAGAACCTGACATGGAATCTACATAAAATAATGTGATCTGCTAAAGCAATGAACTTCCAAGTCCCAATCACACCCAAAAGATAATTGCAGGGTAATGTAATATATTACACTCCAAAAATGGGATCTTCCCTAGTGATCCTCCACACTAAGAAAGGAGAATCTGCCCGATCAGTGTGGCTCAGTGGTTGAGCGTCGACCTATGAAACAGGGGGTCAGAACACATGCCAGCTTGCAGTCTTATTCCCCAGTAGAGGGTGTGCAGGAGGCAGCCGATCATTGATCCTCTCTCAACATTGATGTTTCTATCTCTCTCTCTCCCTCTCCCTTCCTCTTTGAATCAATAAAAACATTTTTTTTTAAAAAGAGAGAATCCAAAGGAATGAAATAATAGTAAAGAAAATATGCTAACTTAAATGGACTTTATGCTAAAGTATCTGTCACAAAATACTAAGATTCTCTGGCTTAAAAAAAGAATACTTTAGCCGAACCGGTTTGGCTCAGTGGATAGAGCGTCGGCCTGCGGACTGAAGGGTCCCAGGTTCAATTCCGGTCAAGGGCATGTACCTTGGTTGCGGGCACATACCCAGTGGGGGGCGTGCAGGAGGCAGCTGATTGATCTCTCTCATAGATGTTTCTGGCTATCCCTCTCCCTTCTTCTCTGTAGAAAAATCAATAAAATATTTTTTTTAAAAAGAATACTTTAATACCAGTCCATATTAACAACAGTAGTATTGTACACCACAATAAAGGAATATTCTTCCTGAAATATGTTAATTGTCCTGTTTAAAAATATATGTGAAGGGTGTAGCAAAAAGCATAAATATATTCCAAAAGTGTTCTCTTCTATCCCCATGTTAAATAAATCTGGAGCCATTCTAAAGGTGAATATAAAAAGATATGCTATACTGTTGACTACAGAATACTACAAAGTTTTATCGCCATTTAAACAAAGAAGCCATAACAGTTAAATGAGCTCAAGAAATAGGTTTCAGTATCACAAGGTGCCAGCTGTAAAGAGTTATGGCTAATTGAATATGGAACTCCTGCTTAATCAGATAACTGCTCTCCTATTTCCAAATGAAATGCCATTTCCATACTGTCTGAAAATGGCCCGTTTTATTGGTAACCAGAGAAAACAATATAAACTGTAAATAACATTTAGTGCTCTGTTTACCCATTCCAGGCACAGAAGTAGCAGGGGATCCAAGACGTCTTGGTAACACATTTGACGATAGGGCTGGAGTAGCAGTTCTTTCTGGGGGCCCACCAGGGGCTGAAGTGTCCTTTGTTGGACCAGGAGATACTGGAACTTGTGGAGGAGGGCCCTGGCTAGACCTTACTGGTGTTGGAGAAAGGTTTCTTTGAGCTGCAGTTCGCTGACGAATCTCTGAGAAAAAGAATAAGAAGTATAAATCACATTTAATATCCAAAATGCCACATTAGCCAATACCACAAGTATTATTTACATTTAATTTAATTTTGTGACACCAAAAGGCATTTGTAGGGCTAAAACTGCTTGTAATAAGAAATCTATAAAATGTAACATTGAAAACTGACTATAACAGAGTACTCCATTTCTGAACCTACAAGTCAACTGCATATATTTACACAATAAGCCTTGATCTCAATCCATCCACTGATATCACTTTTCAAAATAAATTCAAGTAAATAAAATCATCACCCAATGTGTCGTGTCTTTTACAGTAACCCTTCCTAATTTATAATAAAGAAAGGAAAGTTTACCAGAATTTAGTGAAAATTGCAGGTTTTTCAAGATAAAAACAATGGTAACTCTAAAAAATGAGTGAATAAGTATATTCTGGAATTATCGAATAATTTATGAGGTAATTAATCTAAGTAGTCATAAAAATGTTGCAAAAGTATTCTTAACTATCAGGTACCATGCCTATTCTCCTTTACACTACTGCTATTTTCTTAGTATACTAATTTCTTTTTGCCAATACATTCAATAAAAGAAAACTTCCTACTCAGCATAAATAATGTATCACCATAAATAAATCTTATATTTAGTTGCAGAAATTAAAAGATTTTCTGTAACGGGTTGGCAAATGTGCCATATCCAGGCTGCTGCTGCTTCTTGTAGTTTTACTAAAATACAATAATGCTCTTTTGTTTACAGATTGTCAGTAGCTGCTTTAAAAGAGCTGAGTAGTTGCAACAGAGATCATATGGCTCTCAAAGCCATCCTATCCTATCTAATAATAGACAAACAGGGTAACTGACCGTACCTTCGCTACACTATCCATTGGCTAATCAGCGAGATATGCAAATTAACCGCCAACAAAGATGGCGGTTAATTTGCATATGCAGGTGTGAAGCTGCGGAGCAAAGATTGAAGGCAGCTCCGGCCGGAGCAGCGAAGGCTTTGAAGGTGGCTCCGGCCGAGCAGCCATCAAAGCTGCTCCAGCTGGAGCAGCGATCAAAGCGGCTCCAGCTGGAGCAGCGAAGGCTTTGAAGGCGGCTCTGGCCGGAGCCAAGGCCTGGGTCCCCGGTGCCGAAGGAAAACCGGTGCAGGCAGCCAGGGGAAGGGAAGGCCTATTGCACGAATCTTTTCGTGCAACAGGCCTCTAGTCCTATATAATAAAAGGCTAATAAACAAATCGACCGAACCGTGTAACAACTGGTTGCTATGATGCGCACTGACTACAAGGGGCAGACGCTCAACACAGGAGCTGCCCCCTGGTGGTCAGTGTGCTCCCACAGGGGGAGTGCCACTCAGCCAGAAGCCAGGCTCATGGCTGGCAAGCACAGCAGTGGTGGTGGGAGCCTCTTCCACCTCCGTGGCAGCGCTAAGGATGTCCGACTGGAGTGGGCCTAAGCCATCATTTGGACATCCCCCGAGGGCTCCCGGACTGCGAGAGGGCGCAGGCCAGGCTAAGGGGACTCCCCGCCCCCGCTGAGGCACGAATTTCATGCACTGGGTCTCTAGTGTATTATATTTACTATCTGGCCCTTTACAGAAAGTTTTATGATGTGCTTCCTCTGAATGTACATTTACCCTGTGAAAATTAACCAAAGCACATTTTTAACATCACTCATGCACTACTATAAGTTGAGGTTTATAACTAACTGGTAAGCAAAGAACACCGTGTCTAACATTCCATAAAAGAGACTTAGCATAATAGCTTCTAAATTTAAATTTAAGCAGACAAAGGGGGGTAAATGATATACAAGAGTCAGGAAAGGGAGAAAATAGTATCATCATTTTCAAAGGCAAAGCAGGTAATAAAGACAGTATAGTGATTACTAGAGGGAAAAGGGGATGAGGAAGGTAAGAGAGGGTATAGGGGGATAAATGTTGAGGGAAGGAGACTGGACTTTGGGTGGTGAACACACAATACAATATGTAGATGATGTATTATAGAATTGTACAACTGAAACCTATACAATTTTATTAACCTATGTCATCCTAATTCAATAAGAGTTACAATATCAATAGTTAAAAGTAGCTAGTGATACAATCTAAATCTACACTTGGTAAAGTGTTATGAAATATTCTGGTAAGTCTTGATTTAAAATATCTAAGATTTGCCCTGGTCAGTATGGCTCAGTTGGTTGGAATGTCGTCCCATACACCAAAATGTGACCGGCTCAATTCCTGGTCAGGGCACATATCCAGGTTGCAAGTTCAATCCCGGTTGGGATGCGTGCAAGAGGCAGCCAAGTGATGTTTCTCTCTCACACTGATGTTTCTCTCTCCTCTCTCTCTCTCTCAAATCAATTTTAAAAAATAAAATATCTAAGATTTCTCAACTTTTAGCCACTTACCATTCACAAATGCCTTGTGTTATTACTATGCCAAAAAGTTTCTAGTACTCAACAAAGTAGTCATATGGCTATATTAAATATTTCCTGCATTGAAATATAAAGTAGCATCCCCCAAAAGATTTACCTAGCATTCCACCTCAATCTGGTATAGTATCATAACAGGTATTCCATAAGGTCAATTCTACATTGGAGGATGTTTTAACATCCTTATCAATGACCAATCAGGGTTTCAATAAAAATCACATTCATTGAATATGAGGACATGTCCAAATTTTTAAAATTATAATGAAACAAATCAAAATAAGATTTTAAACTACTATATTATGATACAAAAGAAAGAAAGGTTTAAAATAATGATGAACAGGATAGTTGCTAAAGCATAAACTCTGGGATCAAACTGTTTTAATTTAAATTTTAGCTCCACCCCATTTATTAGATGTGCATGCAGCCTTTTCCAAGTTGATAGCATCTCTCAGTACAGCTTCCTCATAATGAGAATATTTACCTCTTATGGTTTTTGTAAAGATTAAATAAATCAATGCAAAGAACTTAGCCACAGCACAGAAAATTATTTAATAAGCAATAACTAATAGAAGTAGTATACATCTAAAAGTTCCAGAGATTACAATAAATCAATAGTTAAGCAATCTACAATTTCTAAATCAATTATTAAAATAAAACACAAATTAATTTTCAAATTAAATGTTTTCCTAAAGTTATTTATGGACTTATTTAAAGTGCAAATTCATATAAAAACTTAAATCTATAACCCTAGCTTGGTATTAAATAATTCTTGAGATAAATGTGCTATAATACAAATAATTACCTCTCAATTTCATCAAATTTTTAAATACTACTTCTTTACATACTGATAAAAAAAAATTCTGCATTTGTTTTGGTATCAAGCTGTAGTAGGAAGAACACTATATAATATTTAGGAGGCATGAATTTTCATCCTAGCTGATATCACCTGTGAACTAAAAAGTCTTTTATGCACTCTGGGTTTCATATTTCTTTAAATAGTGTTGGCAAATCTACAAACACAATCCTCATATTTTCCTTAGTATTGGCCAAAGACTTTCTGAATTTTTGTGTCCAGTTCTTAGCCTCAAAAACAAACAAATAAAAAAACCCCCACAAAATTTAGTAAATTTTAGTAATGAGAAAAAAACTTTAAGCCTATGAGTCATTCACATGCATATGGAAACTTAAACCTAGGGTGAATTTGGCTCTTTATAAATATGAGATGTATTTAAATGGGGTATGGGGGTTTATCTTCAGGAGAGTTTCTATTTTTCAATTTATATAAATTCAAGTTTCATTGTTTAAATTTATATACATACTAGAGGCCTGATGCGTGAAATTTGTGCAAGAGTAGGCCTTCCCTCCCCCAGCTGCTGGCACCAGCTTCCCTCTGGCACCCGGAACCGGGGCTTCCCTCGCAGCCCCAGCTTCCACCGGAAGGTCGTCCGGAAGGACATCCAGTCTAATTAGCATATTATGCTTTTATTATTATAGAAGATAGCCCTAGTTAGTTTGGCCCAATGAATACAGCATCAGCCATGGACTGAAGCATCCTGAGTTGGATTCTGATCAAGGGCACCTACCTTGGTTGCAGGCTAGATGCCCAGGCCCTGGTCAGGGTGTGTTCAGAGGCAACCAATCCATGTGAGACACATCGATATTTCTCTGTGTCTCTCCCCCTCTCTTCCACTCTCTCTAAAAATCAATGGAAAAATATCCTCAGGTGAGGATTGACAAAAATAAATAAATAAATAAACTGGTAGGCAGGTAGATTAAATAAACAAATAAATAAATAAATGTATATCCATATAATTCCTTTAAATAACCAATAATAAAGAACATGCATATGACACCTCTTCCTTTTACTTTCAAATTTTTCTAAAGTCTACATTCACTATATCATCTTCAAATCCTATTCATACTGAGATCCTTTAAATACAGCTTCTACCCTACTTCTCTAATGAAATTATTTTCTCAATAGGTTGATGGCTTTTTATTAACAGAAATGACTCCAAAATCTTCCTTCCCATAGAGGCAAAGCTTTTTGAAAAAAGAAAAACTTCCCTAACATTTCACTCCTCAACACAACACAATCGGATTTTTGTGCTCCTTCATAACTTCCACAGTATCACCCACCACTGAAAGGACCATTGTTTTGGTCATATTGCCATTATTGTCATTAGCGTAGCTGCTCTTTATCGATCCCTATTATCTGCTAGGTACTACACCAGGAGCTTTATGTGAGTTTACTAATCTATGTAGTATTTATACAATATTATGCACTAGTTAATTCTTTGAGATAGTACCTATCCTCAGTTTTCAAAAGAAACCAAAGCTCAGAAACTAAGTAACTTGCCAAAAATTACTCCAGCTCAGAGCTGGAGCCAAGATTCAAATCCCAGTTTTTATGACAACAATGCCCTCATTCTGTTATATAACCTGTCAGCCTCATTTGTCTTCTACTTACTGGTACTTCACTTTTTGCAAACTATGACAGTGGATGCCTTCTCTACTACACTTCAATTTTTTAGGTACCAGTTTAGTTATACTTTTAACTCTGCTCATTGCTTCTGT